GTAAACATTTGAGTCTAAAAGAGACTCAAGACAACAAATTCATTTGAGAATTGTTTCATTTCATAACGTAAAGTACAGTTAACAGGTATTCTTTATTTCATTGTGATTATCTTATCTTTCTTTACATTGGTTACATGTAATAAATCATTTTTGTTAATCTAAGATAAACGTTCTGGGATTTATTGAGGATTTTCTGGTTAACTGTACATTATGGAGGCACCGCCATATATATTTTTACTGCTCTTGAGTTATACGTTAGTAATAGAAACCATAGGTGAATTTCCAGCCTAATTCTAAATCTTTCAGCCGGGACATCAGGCTCCTGTGCGCCAACTGATTACACACACCCAGAGAAGGGTTACATTTTGGAGGCACCGCTGGGATCCATTTTCCCTGTATGGTTGTCTATTCTACCGTTCTTTGCTTATTGCAGTGTTGGTGAGAATTTAGTGTTTTTTTGCATCATGGATTTTTCTCAGGCAGCTGAGTGGAGTCGTCAGGTCCAGGTTAGTCCTATTAAATGTGTCATACTTAGCGGTGTTCCCTTAGATGTGAAGGACGAGACCATTACCGAGGTATTAAACACTGTGAAAGCGTTTGGACGTACCCAAATTCGGGGACGACGAGGAGATACTACAGGAATGAATTTGTTCCTGTTGATTGAAACTAGCATTGAAGTTGACCCTAACATTGTACCTCCAGAAGTAGGCATTCCTGGAGTGGTGGTCCCTTGGGGTGTTCATATCCCTGAAACTGAAGATCCGGTTGCTCCAGAAGCCACTTTTAAGGAGAAGTTGATGTTTCTGATGCAACAGGAAGGGAAGTCATTGAGTGATGTGACGTCACTTCTTGAACCAGAACCGTCTCCTAATGTTGATGTAAACCTGAACTTAGTGAATGCCATTGACCGTCTGGTTGATAAGTGTACACAGGGGCCAGGTGATACCCTTACTTACAGGAAACTGAGAGTGTTTTCAGGTGTGCAACCTGTTCCGCCTGGGGAAGAGGATTATGAATCCTGGATGGAACAAGCAGCTCAGATGATTGGTGAGTGGCAATGTGCTGAGACTGTTAAGAGACAGCGCATTGTGGAAAGTTTGAGAGGACCTGCCGCTGACATAGTCAGATTTTTGAAGGTGAGCAGTCCGACTTCAACTGCTGCTGACTATCTTAGGGCTCTTGACATAGCATATGGCAGTACAGAGAGTGAGTCAGACCTGATGGTGAAGTTTGGTAGCACTTACCAAGAGCCAGGTGAGAAACTTTCTGCTTTTCTGTACAGACTTGATAAGATTCTTCACCGTATCTTTCTGAAAGGTTGTGTTCAAGTGGAAGACTTGAACAGAAGACGGATGGAGCAGATTATTAAAGGAGCTCTTACTACTGACATTGTAGCGATGAGGCTAAGAGTGACTTACAGCTTGCGTGATCCGCAAAATTTTTCAGACCTGCTTAGAGAGGTAAGGGAGGAAGAAAACTGGATTAATGCCAGAGATGGGGCCAAAGTCGGGGCTACTACCACTGCTGTGTCTCGGGTAACTGCCTCAGAGAAGGAGGTAGAGAGCTTGAAATGTGATGTGAAAGAATTGTCAGCTCAAGTGAGTAAATTGATGAAAGTTGTTGGATCAACTTCAGTTCCGGAGTCCTCTTCACAGAAAAATCTTTCAGTGATGAGTGCTGATGCCAAGGCCAGGGATGCTGTTCCAAACAGAGACCTTGCATCGCCTGTTAAGCCAGGTATTTTCTGTTACAAATGTGGCGAAGATGGACATACCAGAAGAGAATGCAAAGGGGAGGAAAACCTGAGGAAGGTTAACCAGAAGCTTATTAAACAGAGCCGCTTGCCGGGAAACTTCAGAGGGGTTCTGTGAAGGAACGGCACTGGGCTCCTTTGGAAATGCGTTCCAACTCTTTTCTTTCTGAACATAAACCTTCTTCTGATCTTCCTTTTGGATTAGTAGGTCCAACTTCTGAAGTTCCTGTGCAAATAGAAGGAGTCTATGCTAAAGCATTATTAGATAGTGGTTCACAGGTTACAATCTTGTACAGAAATTTCTACCATACTCACTTGAAGCACTTACCTTTAAAGCCAGTGGAGAATCTGGAAATCTGGGGATTGAGTTCTCATAAGTATCCTTATGACGGTTACTTGCCCATTCGCCTTGAATTTACAGAAGCGGTTGCTGGAGTACCTCAAACAGTTGATACGCTTGCTTTAGTTTACCCTGATCCCAAGCCGGAGCAACCGATAGCTATCTTGGTTGGGACAAATACTTCTTTGGTCCGACAGTTATTTGACGTTTGCAAGGAGAAGGCAGGAGAAAACTTCATGAATGTCTTGACTGTTCATCCAGTGGTTAAAGCAGCTTATGAGACTATTCAGAATTCAATTGGAGTTACTTCTTATCCCGATAAACCTGGGGTTGTGTGGTTCATCCAGCACAAACCAATTACTTTGAAGGCTGGAGAAGTTTGTCAAATTCATGGAAAGCCAAAGTTTTCTAGTGAGTTGTTTGAGAAGCATGTTCTGATTGATCAGGCGACTGACACCATTGCTCCTGAAGAATTGTTAGTGAGGCCTGAATTACAGCCTGCTTCAGTTGTGTCAAACCGGATGGTTACTGTAACGGTAAAGAACATGTCCAGTAAGGAAGTACTCTTGAAGTGTGGTACTCCTATTGCTCACATCTTTCCGGTAGATGTTGTACCTCAGTTGACTCCCAAGAGTAACGTGTCAATGCCGAATACGTCTTTGTCTTCTGATTCCTTTGACTTTGGTAACTCTCCGCTTCCAGAAGAAGCGAAACAACGTTTGATTGAAAAGCTTATGGAGAGGCATGATGTCTTTTCTGCTCACGAATGGGATGTGGGATGTTCCAAGGGTACTGTTCATGAAATCAGATTATCTGATTCCACTCCTTTTCGGGAAAGATCACGTCGGCTAGCTCCTAAAGATTTGGAAGATGTGCGAAAGCATTTGCTTGAACTTCAAAAGTGTGGTATAATCACAGAATCCAAGAGTCCGTATGCATCACCAATTGTGGTGGTACGCAAGAAATCTGGAAGCGTGAGGATGTGCGTAGATTATCGGACTTTGAATCGGCGAACAATACCTGATCAGTATACGGTGCCGAGGATTGAGGATGCCTTACACTGTTTATCTGGTAGCAAATGGTTTTCTGTGCTTGACCTGAGAAGCGGCTACTACCAAATTCCCATGAACAAAGATGACCAGGAGAAAACCGCATTCATTTGTCCGTTAGGGTTTTTTGAATTTGAAAGGATGCCTCAAGGGATTTCCGGAGCGCCTGCTACGTTTCAGAGGGTCATGGAACGAACCGTTGGTGACATGAATTTCCTCGAAGTACTGGTGTATCTTGATGACCTGATCATCTTTGGCAGAACTACAGAAGAACATGAAGAACGGTTGCTCAAGGTTCTGGACAGGTTAAGAGAAGAAGGTTTGAAGCTATCCCTTGACAAATGTCAGTTCTGCAGAACCTCTGTTACCTATGTCGGTCACGTAGTGTCTCAGGAGGGAATCGCAACTGATCCATCAAAAGTGGACGCTGTGATCACCTGGCCAAGACCTAGAACTGTAACAGAATTAAGATCTTTCTTAGGCTTCTGCGGTTATTACCGGCGCTTTGTAAAGGGGTATTCAAGATTATGCCATCCGTTGAATCAACTGCTTAAAGGTTATCCACCACATTCAAGTACAAAGGGGAAGACCGAAAAAACATCTGTTGTGGAGTACTTCAAGGCAACTGATCCTTTTGGGGAGAGGTGGGATGACAAATGCGAGAACGCATTTGAGGAGCTGAAACTCTGCTTGACAAAAGCCCCAGTCTTGGCTTTTGCCGATCCACAATTGCCATACGTACTTCATGTAGATGCTAGCCGAGATGGGCTAGGTGGTGTTTTGTACCAACAACATCCAGAGGGCTTACGTCCTGTTGCCTTTATTAGTCGTAGCCTTTCACCATCAGAGGAGAATTACCCAGCTCATAAGCTGGAATTCCTTGCTCTCAAATGGGCTGTGGTTGATAAATTGCATGACTACCTTTATGGTGTCAATTTTGAAGTGAGAACAGACAACAATCCTTTGACATATATTTTGATATCTGCAAAATTGGATGCTACAGGCCACAGATGGTTGTCTGCATTGTCAACATACACCTTTAGTCTGAAGTATAGGCCTGGCAAGAGAAACGTGGATGCAGATTCTTTGTCCAGACGTCCCCATTTTAGTGTAGCGCCTGATGATGAGTGGGAGGAGATTTCAGCTCCTGGAGTTCGTGCTCTGTGTCAGTCTGTCACAACATGTGAGAATCAGGAAAGTCCTAATGAGTGGAGGGTACGTACTTCTAATTCTTCGGATGACAATGTGTCAAAGGCATTAGGTAATGTTGTTTCCTTTTCTCAGAATGAGCCGAGGAATTCGGACTCTAATGAGTTGAGGGAGGCTCAGGGACTGGATGCTTGTCTGGGAAAAGTGAGGCTAGCCATTAGTCAAAAGCAGCTTCCCAGTAGTGTAAATTTTGACCATCCAGATCTGAAGCTCTGGAAGAAAGAGTGGGGAAATTTAGTAGTGGAAAAGGGAGTGTTGTACAGAGTGATTCCTTTGTCCGACAATAGGGTAAGACGACAACTTGTGCTCCCTACTTCTTTTCGTAACTCGGTATTGACATCTCTTCATGATGAGAGTGGACATTTAGGGTTTGAAAAGACCTATGCTCTCATAAGAGACAGATTTTTCTGGCCAGGTATAAAAGCTGAGGTCGAAAAATACTGTAAAACTTGTGAACGTTGTACAGTCAGAAAGACCTTGTTGAAAAAGACTGCTCTCATGTCGCACTTGCAAAGCTCTAGTCCTTTAGACTTGGTATGTATTGACTTTCTGACGATCGAACCTGACAGTCGAAATGTATGCAATGTACTTGTGGTTACTGACCATTTTACCCGTTATGCGCAAGCATACACCACCAAAGACCAAAAAGCGTTGACTGTAGCAAAGACCTTGTGTGAGAAGTTCTTTGTCCATTACGGGTTACCGAACAGAATTCATTCAGATCAAGGCAGAGATTTCGAAAGCAAATTGATCAAAGAGATGTTGAATGTGTTGGGTATAAAAAAATCTCGGACATCTCCGTACCATCCACAGGGAGATCCCCAACCAGAAAGATTTAATCGAACTCTGTTGAATATGTTAGGTACCTTGAATCCAAGTCAGAAGTCTAAATGGAGTCAGTATATTCCACAGCTTGTACATGCATACAATTCTACTCAGAATGAGTCAACGGGCTATTCTCCCTATTTTCTTATGTTTGGTAGGGAGCCCAAACTGCCTGTGGATGTTTGTTTTGGGATGTTGAATGAAGAAGGCTCTGAAGTATTGCATTCCAAATATGTTGAAAACCTGAAAAGGGGCCTGAAGACTGCTTATGATTTAGCGACTGCATCGGCTGGTAAAGTGAACCAGAATAACAAAAGGAGATATGATGCAAAAGTTCATCAAAATGATTTAAATCCTGGTGATAGGGTTTTTATCAGAAACCTTGGCTTGAAAGGAAAGCAGAAACTTGCTGACCGCTGGAGTTCTGTTATCTTCGTAGTAGAAAAGCAGTTACAAAACTTACCAGTGTACCAGTTGGTTCCGGAAAGTGGTGAGGGTCCAAAGAAAGTTTTACACCGTAACCATATTCTGCCTTTGAGATTTCAAGTTAGAATAAATCAAGACAATGAAGAACTTCCAAAAAGAAATTGCAGAGCTCGAAGAAAACGTTTGAGAAAGAAAGAAAAGAAATCAAATGTGACTGGAACTCCTCTGGAAGTACCACAGGATGTTTTTTCCTCTGATTCAGAGTCTGAATATGGCTATTGGCCATGCTTAATTTGTGACTCTATACCTAGTGAGATGGGTAGGCCTAAGGTTCAGAATTCCACTGCTGTGAAGCAGATTTTGCCTGAACCAGTTGGTGAAACTGACATTGTTCCCTGTGATGGTGATAACAATGACCTTGTTGACCATGAGGTTGTAGGAGCTGTTCCTGTGGGAAAGAATGATGCCCAGGACGGCAATGCACAAACTGGTGTCCCACCCGAGTGTGTTCCTGAGATTTGCTCAGAAACCATATCTGAGACTAATTTAAGGAGATCAGAAAGAGACAGAAAACTTCCAAACAGATTTACTTACCCACAGTTGGGAATACCCAGTAAAGAAACTGTAGTAATTTCCAAATATGGTGATGTGTATTTTCCTAAAGAAAAGGGTACTTGCCAAGTGTGGTGGTGTAATCCACATGCTTTATGTAAAAAGTGTATGGTGAAGAACAAGACTTTGCCTTGTATAGTTCCAAGGGTTTGAGCAAACAGAGCACCCTTAAGTACATTGCATGGGGACATGCTATTTTTCAGTGGGGGGAGGATGTAACATACTCCAGATTTAAAATCATGTATATAATAAGATGTTTCATTTATTTGTGTATTTTATTTTCAAACACATTTAATGTAAAATGTTTCTGTGGTTGTGCTTAAATAATATATATTGATACGATGATGTCTCATATTTAGCAAATGAGGATACTCTCCCTTTTTGAGAGACAGACTGTGATCGTCCAATCAGGTTTCAGACAGGCAGAAGTGGGCTGAATCCAGAACGCGCAGCGACGAGGAAGAAGAGCGAGGAGAATGGTGACGCAGTTGTTTTTGCACGCGAGACTGTCGTTATCTGGAAATATTCCGATTAAGTTTAGTTAGCAAAGTGCAGAACAAGTGTAACGGTTAAATAGTAAATGCTTGTGGTTGCGTCTGGTGGTTTAGTCGTTTTGGTTTAAATTCAGACGGCTGAAGTGATCGTTGTGGAACAGCA